CTCTTTCTTACTTCTAGTGTGTGTGTGTGTGTGTGTGTGTGTGTGTGTGTGTGTGTGTGTGTGTGTGTGTGAGAGAGAGGTCAGCTTTTTATGCTAGATTCTTTTGATTTAGCAAACAAACTTTTGAGCCCCTTTCTGGACCGGTGCAACAGTAATAGGCCCCAGCCCTTCCAGATTTCTCCAAACCTAGTAGAAATTTGTCTTAGACTTAGAGTAACACACATTAGAGACAAAAAAGGGAGGCTTGGGTGAGAGAAGGCTCCTATAATTTCAGGTCCATGTATTTATGCCTTTGGCTTAACGTGAGCTGATGGAGTGAGAACACTATTTCACATATTCTGTCCTTTAAAGGCTCCCTCATGGATGAAAACCTTTGGAGCTGGAGACTTGTTGGATATAAATCTTGGAAAGCCCTTCCCAGCTTATCCATTAAATGCCACAAGCAGCTGGCCATGTACCAACAAGAATCAACATACAGTGCCCGTGGAAAAGTCAACTTTTCAAACAAATACCTTGGTTGCCAGCAATGTGGGGACAGGAACTAGAAAACAGATTATAAAGGTAATGGGATTTATATGTATTTTCCCAACATGTGAATGAATTTAGTGCTTGTGAAAGTAAGGAATTAATAGGTTGGGCAAGCTTCTCCCACCCAACTCTGCCAGTGCCCCTCAATCCCAAACTGTGAAGGACTGCTAGTTATTCTAGTCCTTCAGTTTCATGCCATTTAAGGCAGCTTGTAAGATGGGCATCACAGGGGCTAGGATGAGATCAGCTGACTCCATTCCACCTGTGATCAAAGCTGGACTATGAATGAAAGATAAATCCTGTTAGACAACAAGAGGATTTGTATTCAATAGCTGTATTTTCTTTATAGTTTGACCAAGCTTGAAAGTAAATTAATATGTCCTCAGTGCTGGCATCAACAGTTTAAAACCTAAACATGATTCCCTTCTGCACTAGTATTTATGGCTGTGAAAACCTAACTTCCAGCATTAAGGGGCAGGTAATAAGATACCAGTAACAGAAATTGACCAGACCGCCTACAATTCAGCTCTTATGTGGCAATGGTCATAGAACACCGCTGCTCTATCAGCTGTTTCACACCAGTGCTGTGTGGGTCCATGAGGGAGACCCTGTGTTCTTGTATGGTTGGCTCCTTCCATGCGAGTGAATACATTGGGGGGGGGATATAAAAGCTCAGTCTGCTTCTAGAGTTGACTAACTGGAGTGAGGATTGGAGGGGTGTAGGAATCCTATTCTGAATGTGAGACTAGTTTAAGGGCAGGCAACTGTTACTGAACAGTTACCAACAAGTAACTTTATTTATGCACTACTAATTGTGCTGGTTGCCCGAGAACTAACTGGAGGTTTAAAGGAACATTTGTCTGTGAATGAGGCTAGGGCAAGAGTTTCTATTCTATGATCAATAAACTTGAGCTGTGCTTTGTATATTTATGGTAAAGATTTTTCAGAATCACTAGAGACTGTCACATGACCTTAACTTGCAGACTGTAGGCATAGAATTGTAAGATACAAAGTCCAATGCGGTTGGACAGAAGCAGCATCTTCCTAATGCAAATAATAAGGTAATTGTTTTAAGAAAATAGAATCCAAACTGCAAAGTAATGTCTGTCAGTGTGAAAACTTCCATGGGGAAGACGGGAAAAAAAGTCAAGCAATTTTGATGTGACTTCCTCAAGGCCACAGAGTTGATGTCAAAGCCAAGCTTAAGAGCTAAGGAATTCCTGGCTCCCACTCATATGCTTAAACAGAACTTTAGGGTGGAAATAACTTCTTTGATTTGCACGTAGGTTCAGCAGCAAGACTCGGACGTGATCTACATTTGAAGCGTCTCTGCGATTCAGTAATGCTTTCATCAAGAAGTGAATAGGCAGAACTTCGGAGTAATCCATTTGGCTGCCACAAGTTACTTACACAAAACCACTACATACCTTTAGCTACTCGATGTCAGCATCAAAACATATCCTGTAATGAGAGTGTGGTGCTGCTCAGTGTCCAGAGAGGCAGCATATGCCTGTAGCACTGAAAATGACAAGCATCTTTCATAGTGGCAAACGTGAAATAATATAAGAGCCAAGTTACATCATTTGTGTTTCGTGAGAACATTTTACATTTAAAATGCCTTTTATCCTAAAGTGCTTTTTAAACTACAGAGCACCGCTGAAATACAGGACCTTTTAAAGCAAAGAGAGTAGCAAATAGTCAGTGGAACACACTGGGGGAGGAGGAGATGTTTAGGAAAATTCCTGCTTTTATAAAAAAATTTACACAGAGCACACATGACTTTATGTTTTTAAGTCTTAGCAGCTGGTGGGACACTTCTAAAGCCTGTTTCAGCATAGTTAGTCCACAGAACATTTTTCACTTCTTATCCCTAAACATAACAGACTGTCCACATACTTGACTTGTATTTCTATTAGAGACAGTCCAATCCTAAATTTAGAATTAAGAGCTAGACAGGCTTTTTTGGTAGGTCTTAATACATCTATTTTGATGTCTCATGGAGATATGAATGAATCCTTAGTGTGGAAGTGCAAGGCTTCTGTTTCTATATGGTTTTTGTGATAGTGTGGAATACCTTTGTTGCTGCCACCTGTAGAAGACTGCATAACTTACTGGCTCAGAGAAGTTTAAGTACTAGAGACAAAGGACACCTAACTGGTATCTGCTAAAGAGGGACTCGTCTCTGATGAAGACTAAACATGGTATCTACCACCCAGCATCTACTTTATCAGTAGAACCACTTTATACTTGAGGATGTTGTGCATTAAATGTATATTTAACTGAGATCTTCATACAGACTTCTATGGAAGTAGACAATACAAAATTGTAGCTAAAATATGTTGAACATGCAGGACAGAGTAAAAATGGATGTTAATGTTCATAAACATCTACTCCTATAAGTTAAAAATCTGAAGTATATTGAATAAAGCTTCAATTCCTTCTAGCTGTCAGCTTTTTAAATGTGTATGTATATATTGTTAGCTTTAAAGGCAGAGCATGAACTACTGAAAGTTTTTCAGTTCTGAGCACTGACAAGGTAGGTGTACTACATGTGCTTCTTTACTAGTCTTCATCTCTACTTCCTCACTTAATTTGCTTATCCTCTAAACAGCAAGATGACAATTAAAACCTCTACATGTATCTTCTGGAAAAGAAATTGATTTGTATCCATATTCAGGAAAACACTGTGCAAGGAAGTACAGGTGTTAGTTGAAGTAGAGCTGAAAGTCAACACATGGGCTAGTCAACAACTTTAATAAGGTTTATTTTGATATTGTCAGCCATTCTTCCTGACCCATAAATACTAAACAAACCAACTGTACATAAATTACAAAAAATCAAAAAGGAACTCCCTCTACTAAGAAAAAACCTGAACAATTCACCCAAATTCTAGAGAAGGCTTTACATGGAAATAGACTCCCTCCCCTCCCCAAGTTTGTGAACTGGATTCTGCTAAATTATGCAACTCCTCTTTCTCCTGCTAGCTCCCAAGTTTGCTCTTCAGAAACTATGCTTTATCCCTAAAGAAAAACAGCTCTAATCATTATGGATGCAGTGATGGCTGAAGCTGTCGGCAACCCAAAACACTAGATAAGAGTAATGAATTGCCCAGTTAATCTCAATGGGATATTGATACTGATAAGTATCTTTGGTGCTCAACCATCTCAAAGATGAGCACAATCAATGGCTTATCAACATGGGGAAATGTGCCAGCTTAACTGTACTAGTATAGTTTGTGTGTAGCCACTTAGTCTAATGTATGTCCACATAAGAAGACATGGCAGCAAAATCACACAGGTAATTTCAATTTTCAAAATGCTTAATGACTAAGGAACCCATATCCCACTGACTATCAGTGGGACTTAAACTCCAATGCAACTTAAGTACTTTTACATTTCTTATTGGCCTCCCCTGCAATCTGACCCATGAACAAGCTCAGGCTGTCAAACTAAAGGGGAGGTAAATTCCTGAGGGGCACAGAGGGGCTTTGCTAGGTACTTGTGTGTTAGTTTATAACTACAACAAACAGATATTGCTATCATCATCTAGGTCTTCACAGAAACTGTATGCATCAAATCAGAGGACAGCTGACACCTGTCACAAAATACATATGCCACTTCCCTCTAGGAGGCAGCAAGTGACCACAGTACTGGCTCATCCCCTAAACTAGGAAACAGAAATGGTACCAAACAACTAATGCATATTTTGCTGCATCATACTACTGTCACAGAAGTTGATGTTTAATGCCAAGGGCTCCATTTAAACTCCATGTTTATCCTTGAACAATCCATGGATGGGTAGGCCAAGTTAATATCATTTACTCTTTCCCCACTATTGTGTATTCTGCCTCAGGAAGTATGAATACATCTTAGAGCTGCTTAGCTGTATTATTCATATACTATCTTGTTTGAAAAACTGTACTGTAATTTTAGCAAAGTAGTTTAGAGTGCTGTCTTCTGCAGCAGGTGGGTTGGTAGAAAGTGTGTGTGGACATCAGCAAGACACACAAAGGGTTGAACATGAAGATACTAGAGAGGTTTAAAGCATTTTGGCTTTTATCTTGGATAAGGAAAGGAACATATACAAGTCCAGCAGGGGAAAACTAAGGTACGCTGGGAGCTTCTCTATCTCAAGGAGCAGATTCCTTTACCTAGTCTAGATCAGGTTTATTTTAGTAGTGAATTTTTGCATATTTTGGGAGCACAGCTTCAGCCTCACACAAGCATAAAGGACCACTACACTAGTGCCAGATCCTATAAAATACTTTATATATATTATAATTCATTTAACAGTTGAAAGAATGAATTAGGGGAACACTTTTCTCCAGGTTAGGATGTATATTTTGCATGTATCCCATGAATAAAATATATAAGAATGGTCTATTTACAAATAGTGAAATTTCTCTAGCAGTAGCATGTGGCAGTCTAGGTCACTCATGTTTAATGCTGCCATTAAACAAGGTTAATAATATACACAGTAACTCCATGCACTGTTTTAAGAGTGACACTTCATTTAATTCTTTTGCCTGTGCATGTTTCTCCTCATACGCAATAAACGGCTCTGGGATAGATGCAGCCTTCCACCCAGCACTAAATTAAAGGGAAAAGGGCTTGGCGCAGATGAACACCAATATAATCAATACCCACACCAAAACAAAGCTAGTATAGCCTTTCACTGTTAAGTCCTATAACTTTATGCTTAGTGCAAATCGAACACTCAAACACCTCTTTATTAAAAGGCACTTGTTACCCAGACAAATGCAAGGAAACATGGCCTGGAATAATCCCAAATAGAGCTAGTGACAGCAATTATTTGGCAGCAATAGGTTGGAAAAACAAAAACCTTAACAGAATGAGGTGGCCTAACTCTGCCTCTTTATAGTGTTTGCCACAAAAGTGATGTTGGTGGAAGGGTTTTATTCAAACTTTTCATCTCCTTCTTCCACATCTTTCAGACTGAGCACTTCGAGCGAGCCTTTCCCTTTAGTCTCACACCGGATCAGTTCGTCGATCTCCCTGAAGCAGCCTGGATCAATGAGGCACACCTGAAACATTTTACATATCAGTCAGTGAAGATTTTAGCCAACACTGTGTCCTTTTCTCCTATGGCAATTTAATATACAGAGATGACTGACCCACTAGGAGTTAAGAAAACTTTTCCACCTCCCTAAAAGCTTATATTTAAACAATCCACATGGATCCATCTTTTGTTTGAGGGAGTTTTGCAGCTCCACCTGCCAATGCTCAACCTGCTAATAATACAGCAGTGAAATTGCAGAAGAAGCCCAGTCTGTTGTAAGTAGCCCAAAGTATTACTAATTACAGATCTTGTTTATAGTTATTTTGGTGGAATACCTTTTAAATAAGTTACAGTACGGTCAGAACTGAATTGCAGTAAGATATGGTGCATGTGTTTTGCACTGTAAGACAATTAAAATTTACCATCCTAACATATAGGGGACTGGCAAAATGAGAAAAGGAAGAAGTTAAACACAGCAACTTTTAGCAGTGATGCATTGTACTTTTTAAAGTTTGAGCCAGCAATTCTACAACAAATATGGGTACAGGTAGATGATTGAGTCAAGAACTCTCGTTTCTCAAGCAAGTGTTCTGACAGTCCTGAGCCTTTTAAAGGCTTGAAAGCAGTCACTAAGACCATGAAGAATTTAAAAAACCAAAACAATACCCAAAACCCAAAATTACAATTTCAGCTAACCCAAACACAGGTTTTACATGTAGCCTTCAAAAGAACACAACTAAATGTAGAAAAATTGACTACAGAAACTAGATTCTTACAATTTCTAACTGCTCATCGAAGTCTTCACTCTCTATAACTTTGATCAGTGGTTTGAGCTTCTCTTTTAGCTTCTTGCCCTCTTTTGCTGGGAGAATAAACCGCAGTCTCATGTGAGCCCGCTCAATCTGCATAGTCTCCTTTAACTGTCTGATCACTTCCAAAGCCTGCAGAGACATTAACTACAAATGAAATTCACATATGCTCATTTACCCCCGATACTTGACACCATGCATATGCTCATTTGTTATTTACATAGCATCATATCCCACACTCAGGTTTAGCATTATTTACAACTGCTTATAGATGCTCCAGAAACATTCCTTGGTACCGTCTACTGGAATTCTCCAGGAATATGTTTGGTATATTCCAATCAGAACTGATTAACATGAAAAGGCAGATCTCAATAAAGTATTGCTGGAATTGGACTTAAGGTGTCAGAAAAGCAGGAAATGTTAAACAAGGTGGTTATATCAAAACTATAAAAAAGTCAGGACATTCAAAAAATTAAGGATAAACACACTGTCCCACTGAACCACAGGAGGTAAGAAGAAAGCATAAGCAGTGAGTCTTGCTTTTGTTTTACACCCAACTTTGCTGCTGTTTTAATAATCTGTAGTTAGAAGAACAGGAGTACTTGTGGCACCTTAGAGACTAACAAATTTATTAGAGCATAAGCTTTCGTGGACTACAGCCCACTTCTTCGGATGCATATAGAGTGAAACTGTAGTCCACGAAAGCTTATGCTCTAATAAATTTGTTAGTCTCTAAGGTGCCACAAGTACTCCTGTTCTTTTTGCGGATACAGACTAACACGGCTGCTACTCTGAAATCTGTAGGCAGATACAAACCAAAACTACAAAGTTTCAGAATACAAGTGTTTCTTTCTAACATTCAGCTCCTATGCCACCTCTGTCTGTCAAACAATGCTCACTTACCATCCTTAGATTTAGGTTCAAGTGACTCCTGTGGATGTTAATAAGGAAACTATATACAAAAATTCTTTTAAGTGAAAACAGAATTTTTGGGAACTGATACAGACCTGCTGTTTGGTGCTCTTGTTTGGTTTAACAGAATAGTGGATATCCTTCATGGCTCTTTCTATAAGGATTACTGTGTATGGCCTCTTTGTTTCAGGATTCACACATTTCTCAGCGACAATAGTTGCAATGTCTCTAAACATCTGCTCCAATTGTGTGTGTCGCTCTTTGTCAGATACCTGCAACTCCCCTTTTGTTAAAATCTAGAAGTGATTAATCAAGAATGAAAAATTATATTCAATAGTAATAATACATATTTGACTGAAGAATAGCTCTGGGAAAGTTATTGACTTGTTTTCAGAGTAACAATTACAGTATGTCTTAGCTTAATTTGTGTATATATCTTTAACTTGACTAGGTTATTCTGCAGCATGTCAAGTATAACACTAGAATTTTTTCATAATACAAAAAAAACCTTATGCAAAAGTGTAATGCTGGTCTCATTAAACTATAAAAAGGAAACTAGTGTTTTTCAGATAAGGGTCAAATCCTACAAATGAAGTTAACAGTTTATATAAGTGTACCAACAAGGGGACCAAAAAATAAAAATGTAACAGGTTTATTGAACACTGAAACTATTTCAAAACAAACAGCATTACTGAATATCTTGTTTGATTAAAAATGCAGATTTACTATTCATCCCCACTCATTCCTATTACATTATAAATAGACCAATATAACAAAAAAAATCTTTTGGATCAAGACACTTGTGAAATAAAACTTTTACATTTCTTCCTCCATCCCTATCTTACATTGGGAATTGGTCTAGCTAAAGTTCTTTGGGACGGTGACCTTGCTTTGACATGTCTGTAAAGGACAATGCATCCTAATGATGCTATATAAAAAGTTCAAGTGGTCAGAACTCAGTTTTATAAATATCTCACTAGAAAGATCAGATATCAAGAAGAATGCTCCTTCCCTCCCCATCAGGAAGCTGGTTCAGTAGTGACTGAAAGGGAAAAGTATCCTTTACTGAATCAGCAACATACCTGCCTATAACAACTAGGCATTGCATGGACATCCCCCATCAGTCTACTGATCTGATATGACCCTGCTTTGCTCACGAGATCCGTGAGGAACACATGACAAGCACAAAGTGGTGTTGCTGAAGACCACAGATTTTAAACCACTTTATTTCCAAAGAGAAGGGAAAAATATGTTTACCCAAAACTGTGATCAATAATAGAAAACAAAATAAGTAATATACTAGAAAAGTCATTAAAGTCTAACAGCATCAATTAACAGATGGATATTCAGTTTAGCTAAATTTTAATGGAGGAAGGCTAGAGTCTTTTGTGATTCACAATAAGGTGTGTTAACTCTATGCTTTCATGTATAGAGGACCTACCGTCTTGCAGATTTCTGTTTGGTCTTCAGTTCCAAAAGCTTTGAGGAGATCTTCCTTCTTTGCAACTTGACCTTTAGAGACGTTTACAAATACTGTGTTGGTCTGTAGAACTTCATCAATGTCTTTTTCACTGGTAAATAACAATTGTATTCACAATTAGAAAACACATGCAAGCATAGCATTAACTAGCAGGGAGTAGTCTTGTGGCCCCCTACTCTGCATCTGAGGCTAGGGCACCAATTAGTGGAAGCTGGGAACTTGAGTGTGGGCAGCTATCTGGACCTTCTCCCCAGGAGGAATGCTATTTAGGTCCCTCCGTAAACCTAACTCTATCTAACACAACATGAAGATGCCTTTTGTAGCTTCATGGAGTAGTTAATTCATTACTAATTTCTTAAGAGGACACCATCAAGTGACTTAAATGAGAAACAAATTTCCTTCCTAGATTACTATCACCATGTTGGTTATTAAAAAGGAAAGGATTTTAACATTTCCTCTAGTTTATACTGCTTGTTTACTTTCAATCACTTCTTGCAGCTGGAACCATGAAAATCAATTAAGTCGGTCTCATATTTTGGTTCTCGATGCTGAAACATTTGCATTGCATGGACTGCCGAATGTTTTTGTTTATAAGAACTATTTTCACTGGAATTTTTAAAAATGTCAACGTTTAAGAGTTGGTTTTCACAAAAAAAATTAGATGCTGGGGTTAAACAATGGCTAGTTAAGTCTGTGCAGTCATTAATGTTCCTTTAGGACTCCAAATATGACATATAAAATATTAATTTTGTGGGACTAGTCTTTGATTTTTTTCAAAGTTAAACCCTTAGCTATGTCAGAGAAGCTAAAGAAAAAACATGGTTGAGACAATGAACATATAAAAGGCTCTCAATAGGCATTCAAACATTATGCTGATAGGGATAATATAAGTCCCAGAGAGAAAGACATATGAAATGGGAGTTTTTGATTCATAGTTACTGCAGGGAGAGGACTTTATTCTCAAACCGCTGTTGCCTCTTCAACATTACTGGTGCAGAAACATAAAACAAGCACTGCCAACTGCAAGCCCCTGTACAAACATTGCAACAAACAAAACAGATCAATATTTTCCAAATAAGAGCAGTAAAAACTGGCAGTGGTAACAGAGTGTATTTCTAAATCCTGAAGTAAAACAACATCCACAAGAAGAAAAGGAGCTACAGTTTCAAAGGAGGGACACTTCCTCATGCAGAGAGTAGGAGGACATTTAGAAAAGTTAAGGCAAATAAACTAAAGGTGTGAAGATACCTTCAAAGGGCAAGGAAAGATGCAAGGAGGATCCAGGAGACTACGCTGGCATAACCCCGTAGCATATATGCAGCCTACACCAATGCAGGAACACCACCTCCCCAACTGACAGTAACTAGGTTGATAGAAGCATTCTTCCATTGACAAAACTGCAGCACTCAAGGGTGTGTTTTTTCATACCCCTGACTAATATAGCTACCTCAGCCTAACTTTTAAGGCTATGGCTACACTAGAGAGTGCTGCTGTGAGCTCTATAGTGTAGCCGCTCTAAGCAGACGGGAGAGACCTCTCCCATTGACTCAGTTAATCTACTCCCAACAAGCGGCAGCACCTATGTCAGTGGAAAAAGCTCTCCCACTGCCATAGTGCTGTCCACACTGGTGTTTAGGTCCATGCAACTTATGTCACTCAGGGGCTGACTTATACTGACATAAGTGGTAATGTAGACATAGCCTGAGTGTAGACCATGCTTAGTTACAGGAAACTAAGGCCATGTTTACTCCTGAATGAGAGCATCTACAAAATTTAACTTATGTGCATGGACTCCATGCCTCTAGCTGATTCTTCAAGTTCCAGAAAGCCCGCAAGTAGACAGAGTAGGTGCTTTCAGACCCTCTGTCAGTAACGCAGGTCAGGGCTGACTCCTAGCTTCCCTACACGCTGCAAACAGCTCCCCCAATACCTGGGTGGGAATCCCTCCTCGAGTGGGATGAGGGCAAGTTACCTCTGCTCTGTAAGTGTTAGCACCAGCTAGAGGAGTAGGGTACGGGTGAGTCCTGGCCTGGTCCATTTCACTAGGAGCTGGATGTTGACAGGCACCTATTTAGATAAGGCACTTCCCAGCACCACCTGGGGCACCCACCCCCTTCCGTCCCAGCCCTCAGATAGCCGAATCTCCTCCCCTCCAGAAACCCCCTAGCGAGGGGGTCCCACCCCAACCCCTCAAATGTCCTCAGACCCTCACCCCCCTCTTGGCCCAGCACAAGACTCCCCTTCTTCCCAGCAGCCCTGCACCTGCCTCAGACCTCCCCCCATCTTCCCTCCACGCCCTACCCCATCTCTCCCTCCTCCCACCACCCCTACCCCATCCCTAGCGCCCACCCTCTCCCCAGCCCCTTACTGCCCCCCAGCCCTACCCCAAGCCCCCCCACATCCCCTCTACACCCTACCCCATATCTCCCTCCTCCCTATCCCTCCTCCACCCTAGCACCCGCCCTCTCCCCAGCCCCTTACCGCCCCTGCAGCCCGGCCCCGGCCTGTACTCACGCCC